ATAATTATTGTTCCCCACAGTATTAGATTTTTTGTATTTACATATTATTACTTGATTATTAATTATCATGCAGAATTTTTCATCAATATAAATTGGGCTATTTAACCATCATACCCACACATATATGGAAATAATTATGTGACAAAAAGTACAAGACATGTAACTATTACTAAATTAATATTAAAATGTTTAGATTTCTTTAACTGTCATTTTCGTCCCGAAAAAAATCTCTTTTTTTTTTTCACCTGATCCGAAAACAGAATCTCTAACTGAGCAAAGTGTACCGTTGGATATAAGATACGGTCTCAAAGTCAACAGTTTGTTAAAGTTGGCGTTCATTCGGAATACGTAGAAAAGTCTCGATTCTGACTTTTCCACACAACCCTCCGCCGATCGGGCCATTTAATTTGAAAATGCCCCAACAAAACTTCAAAAACAAAACAAAACAAAACACATAACAACAAAAAAAAATGGTGGCAAACTAATCCCACCAAATGATCTAATTCTGCCAATTGCGTCCAGTGAAAACGGGTGAATTAATATTTGAATTTTTATTAAAAAATGTAGTCATATTTAGTAATTGATAATATTTTGAACAAAATTACTTTTAATAAAAGGATACCTTTTATCTAAGGGGAAAAACTTTAAATATTGTGAATTCTTTTTAAAAGCTGTAAAATTAATTCTTTTTTATGAAATGCCTTAACTATTCTTGAGTAGAAAGAAACTTCCTTCAAATCAGTACACAAACTAAACTCCTTTATCAAGATCCATCCCTCACAATAATAGCGGAGATTGATTAAAAGCAAAAAACAAGAACAAAAATTAGCTTCCATGTCATTAGAAGCTTTCCCTAGCCTATCAACTAAAACGGTGCGACATATTCTAAATACACTTAAAGCCAAAACAAGCATATAATAAATAAAACATCTAATCACCCCCTAGTATTTTTATATGGCCATTTAACTAGGGCATATTCGAGTGCTGTCAAGCCTAATTAAAATCAGCTCTCCTTAAAAGTGTTTTTCCATTCATACAAATTCAAACTTGAGACAGTTAAAACCAATTTCATGGGAGCATATTCCATATTCATCACAATGATGAGCATGAAGTGCTTATTTTAATTTGAACCATTCATATTGATTTTAGATGGTCCAAATTGAATTTAGATTTTTTTATATTGTTTAATTAATATTTATTTTAATGAATAAAAAATTTAAAATAAAGATAATCTTATAACCAATACTTCTTTAAAAAAATAAATTCATCATTGAAAAAATTACATATTAAAGATTTTAAATCTCAACCATTTATATCAGATTTTGAATTGTCTAGAGTGCATTACACCCATGAGCACATGGTGTTGATCGCAAATGAGGACTCCACTTCAGCTGGGAACACTTTGACAGTACTTAATATCATATAGTTAGTAGAAAATTTAATGAAAATATAAACTTTCGCGTTATGTATATTTTTTTAATTAAAAAAAATATTAGAATAAATCTTGTTTACTACTTTACCCCTCATTATATTAAATGCCTCGTTTATCTTTTACTATTAATATTTATTAATGATATGTTTAATATTTTTACTAAATTTACTAAATTAAGAGATAACTTTTTAATTCAATTGAAAATACATATATGCAATACAAAACATTTTGAGCTAATATATATATAAAAAATTACATTACAAGTAATTTTAATAAAAAAATAAACATTTATATTTACTGTAAAATAAATTTTATTTACAAAATTAGTTAAATTTATAACATGATGATATGTATTAACATTATTTTGTAAATTCAAATAATGATATATCATATATGATTAAATGATAATTACTAAGTAATATTTGCATTAAGGAGGGGTATTTTGATCAAAATAAAAGGTGAACCATATGATTAATGGTCAACTGACGATTGGGTTTGCATAACAAATTCAAAATTTGATGAAACTACAAAAACTAACAATGAGTCCTTTTGTTCATATTACCGGTCCTAAATCTAAGATTTAGTTTTTAATTTAATTTGCACTGCAACCTAAATATTACATCTGCACGGGAGTTGGTATAAACTCTTATAGCATTGGACGGTTGGATTGGAAGGGCCATGTGACGACAACACAATGGTGGTCTGCGCATGTGCCTTTCCTTACACGGATTATATTTCCTTTCATAGCATTGAATAGTTTTATATATGGGCATCTTTAGCAAAGTTTCAGGTTTGATTCTTTCTATATAATTACAAAAATCATATTTGAAGAGTCATCAATTCACTGATGTAGACATATACTTATAATAAAATCAGATTTTTTATATTTTGTTCATTCATATTGCGGAATATGATCACCACAAGAAAATAAAAATGAGTTGATAATGAATATAAATGATTACTAAAAAATTTATAGCACGTGTTAGGGAACAATGTGTCTCATTCATTACTGTTCCCCACAGTATTAGATTTTTGTATTTCCAAATTATTACTTAATTATTAATTATCAGGCAGAATTTTTCACCAATATAAAATTGGACTATTTAATTACCATCATACACACACATATATGGAAATAATTATATAACAAAAAGTTTTTTTTTACCTGATATGTAACAAAAATGTTAAGACATGTAACTATTACTACATTAATATTAAAATATTTTAGTTTCTTTAACTGTTATTTTCATCCGAGGAAAAATATCTCTAACTGAACAAATTGCACCGTTGGATATAAACTATGGCCTCAAAGTCAGTGGTTTATTAAAATTGGCGTTCATTCGAAATACTACCTCCAGTCCTTAATATAAAAATTTGTTCAACTTTTATTTTGATCCTAAATATAAAATCTTAATCCATTTTATCTCTCATATTTATCCTTTTTTCTCCCAAGATAGTCTTTTTAATAATGGTAGTATACTAACCAATAAACTTGATTAGCAAAGATATTTTATGAAAGACAACATCTATTTATTATAAATAACTAACTTAACTTATTTTTTTAATCTACTCAAATTAGTCAACTAGCTTTTATATTTAAAACCAGAAGCCGTATGTAGGAAAGTCTCGATTCTGACTTTTCCACACAATCCTCGCGTTGATCGCGCCATTTAATTTGAGCATGCCCGGACAAAACTTTCAAAAAAACACATAACAACAAAAAATGGTGGTAAAGTAATTCCACCAAATGATTTAATTCTACTAATTGGGTTCAGCCAAACAGATTAAGCTCTTACAACATAGTAAATTAATATTTGACTTTTTCTTAAAAAATTTAATCATATTCAGTATTTGATAATGTCTCAAATAGGATTACTTCTAATAAAATAATATTTTTTTACCTAGCCAAAAAAGACTTAAATATTGTGAATTCTTTTAAAAAGCTGTAAAATCAATTCTTTTTTATGAAACGCCTTGACTATTCTTGAGTAAAAAGAAACTCGCTTCGCCATTGACCAATCAGTACCCAAGCTTTCGCTAAGATCCACCCCTCACAATAAAGTGGTAAAGTGAAGATTCATCAAAACAAAAATTAGCTTCATGTCATGGGAAGCTTTCGCTAGCCTATCAACTAAAGCGGTATGACATATTCTAAATACACTTGAAGCCAAAACAAGCATATAAAAAGTATTTTAAAAAAATCTCACAATTTAGAGTAGTTGTAAAAAAGCTGAAATAAATACCTTTTGCATGCTAGATCATCTCTGAAAACGGGAAGCATAAAACACAAATACTCCTCCGGTCCTTAATATAAGACTCAATTCTTGAGTTGGTTTTGGTCCTAAATATAAGACCTATTTCTCATATTTATCAATTTTTTCTAAATTATCCCTATAGATACTCTCTAAACCATAATCAAGTAGAAGAAGGAGAGAGGTATTAAAAAAGATGATTATGGTGTTTTAGGAAAAATGTGTTACTTTTCTTATAATTAACTAACTTACCTAACTTTCTTAATCTAATCAAATTAATTAAATAGGTCTTATATTAAGGACCGGAAGAGTAGAAGAAATTTGTTAGGGAATCTTTTCCCTGAATTGTAGGCATAGTGATGACAATTAGAAATAACGTCTATCACCTGTCAAAACTAACAAGAGGGCACACTTATAATGCTTTAACTAAATAAGATGACTGGATACCCAGAATATCTATATATATAATTTCAAATATTCAAAATATCATATCATAAATAAATAAAATATCTGACATCATGGCCATTTAACTAGGCCATATTTGAGTGCTGTCAAGCCTACTTCAAACTAGCTCTCCCCAAAAGTGTTTTCCCATTCATACAAATTCAAACTTGAGACCTAATGTTTAAGCAGCGAAAACCAATTTCAGGGGAACATATTCCATACTCATCACAATGATAAGTATGGAGTGCTCATCTTAATCTGAACCATCCAAATTGATTTTGGGTGGTCCAAATTGAATTTAATTTTTTTTATATTGTTTAATTAATATTTATTTTAATAAATAAAAAATTTAAAATAAAGATAGTCTTATAACTAATACTTCTTTAAAAAATAAATTCATCATTAAAAAAATTACATATCAAAAATTTTAAATCTCAACCATTCATATCAGATATTGAATTGTCAAGAGTGCATTACATTAATAAGCACATGGTGTTGATCGCAAATGAGGACTCCAGTTCCACTAGCAACACTTTGACAGTACTTAATATCATATAGTTAGTAGAAAGTTTAATGAAAATATATAAATGAATGTGAATTAATGAAACACCAAAATTATCAAAACCCTAATGCAAGAGTAAATTACCAAAACTTTGTTGTAAATTATTAATACTCGGGTTTCATGGAAATTTCCTATCCGTTCATAAGCGAAAGAGTCCTCTGAGATAAACAACTCTAGCGTATACATTCTTTTAGAGACAGATGTATCAGTCTCTTTCTCTCCCCCGTTACATGAGCTACAAGCTATTAATTTTCCACATGAAAATCCCTATAAATTCCTCCTTAAGGACTCCCATTTCCGTTATCAAACACGTCTCATAATAACAAACAATGGACTTATCGTCAAAGCTTCCATTTCCTTTCTTCGTCTTCTTTGTTCTCTTTGCCATCATTGCCTGTGCTCAGGGCTCACCACGGGACTATGTGAATGCCAACAACGCAGCAAGATCACAGGTGGGAGTCCCCAACATAGTTTGGGATGATACCGTGGCTGCTTATGCCCGAAACTATGCTAACCAGCGCAAGGCTGACTGCCAGCTGGTCCACTACCACGGCCGGTACGGTGAGAACATCACAGGGAGCACCGGCGACTTGACGGGCACGGACGCCGTGAAGTTGTGGGTGGATGAGAAAGCGAAGTATGACTACAAAAGCAACTCGTGCGTTGGTGGGGAGTGCCGGCACTATACTCAGGTGGTATGGAAGAATTCCATTCGTGTTGGTTGTGCTAAAGGGAGTTGTAACAATGGAGGCACTTCCATTGGCTGCAACTATGATCCTCCTGGCAACTACGTGGGACAAAGACCTTATTGATCGATCCATGAAAGGAAATAATTTGCATTGAAAAAAAAAAAAGAAACAACAGAAAACCTTTAATAAACTCATTTGGTTCCATTTTATAAGACAAATTTTCTTACTTCATACTCACTGGAAAAATATGACGGTAAAATTCAATTCAAGTCAGTTAGTCAAGCTAAAGAACTAATCAATCAATTCTGGATTAGTGCGGTCAAGAGTTTTGGACAAGATGATTGGGTTAAATATTTTTTTCTCTCCTAAAATGATATCATTTTGAATTGAAAAAGACACAAAAAACAGTAACCGGCAAGTCAAACGCCTTCTCATTTGAGTAAGTGTTTTGGACGGTCTGATTGAGTTTAATTTTATGATTTTTCTCCCTTTACTGTGCTTAAATCGACAGCCTTTTGAGGTTTTTCCTAAAAAAAAAAATTAAAATAATAATTCGTCATATATGTGTTTTAATAACTTTATTTTGTTGGTTGGATTATATGTAGCTCATACATGAGTATTCTATTTATTTGGGATTAATGTATTTTTATTTAAATCATACTCTTTTAAGTAATATATAAATATTTTTATTTTTTAATTAAATTTTATTATTTTAATTTATTTAAATAATACTCTTTTAAAGTAATATATAAATATCTATGTATATTTTAATTAAATTATATTATTTTAACCGTAATTTGATTGATGCTAGTTCAACCATGATAGAACCATTAAATCTTGAACTATTGTCTCTGCCAAGTTAAATGACTAATTCTGTTTTAAGTACCTTACAGAGATAAACACTTCCCCTCTCAACCCACTTACCCTTCATATCGTGTATCTCTGTTTCTTCGAATTAGATACTACTATAAAAATTTAAATACTTGATGGTTATTTTTTACAATAATTGATGGTTATGAACTGTCAAATATGCAAGAGTCATATCTGGTCAAAAAAAATATTTGACGGTTAATAATCATAAAAAATTGGAGAGAATACTTGATGATTGTAACATTAAAATCATAAGTATCTGTTCAACAAAACATATTTCTGGTGATCATCAGAACCAACAAACCATAGCACGGCAATATCAGAACCAATAACAGCACTCATGTCAAAAAAAACCATTCCAATTGGAAATAATAACATTCAATCATATCACATTCCAATTGGAAAAAATTAGGCAGCATAACGACTTAAAAATAAGCATTTCTCAAGCATTGTGCCATCTTTGTCTACTATTTTAACTTTGAAAAATAAATCTCTAAACACCAAACTCGCAAGGCAATTTCCATTTGGAAAACCCAATAGCTAAAAATATTATTCATGCAAGTTTAATTCAAACTAAATAACATCTCAAGTAATATTTAATCATTCAAACCATTAGGAATGTCTAAAACAATGCCACTTAATCATCCCCCGAAATCAAAACATTTTTAGAACATGTAAATACAAAACGCATGAATCAGAAATTAAAACATTTTCACTAATAATCAGAACACACATAGAATAACAATGCCATTCAATCCACAACCATGAACTCAGAACATGTAAAAGAGTAACAAGGTAAAAAGCAAACGAGATCATAACCCACAATCAGAAAAAATACCATTCAACCTCAAGCAATAAAATCATAAGCAAACACGAACACAACAGATCAGACTTAACAATGCAATATGATGGCTGAGAGCGAAGGAGAAAAACCACGGACCAAAAAAGTTGATGATAGTGGAGGAAAAGCCACGAAATCAACAGGGAACTTTTGAAAATCCGATGGGGAAGGCAAATTAGAATGGTGGCAGGTTTAGAGAGAGCGTGTGAAAGAGGTAGATCACTTGAAATTTGAAACTGAATTCGAGTGAAATGAGTCTAACTAGAGATTTTAAAACAAAATACTAGATTATTATTTGCTAAAACGGTCAAGTATTTATTTAAAATACTTGACAGTTTTAGTGAATAACTGTCAAATATGCCTATGCGAAACAATACTTGAGGGTTCCATGCAAAACTATCAAGTATTTGTTAATAATACCTGGCAGTTTTAGCAAATAACTATCAAGTATCGTGTCAATATTTACCGTCTTCTTTTATTTGACGGTTTTGTTTTACAATTGTCAAATATTTGATGTCAAATATTTATAAATATGTAGTAGTGAGATTTGCAAAACTAAAAAGAGGCAATGTTTAATATCTTACTGAATGAGCGCATCAACTTTTGTACATGTTTTCTCATACATCACATAAAATTTGAAAAGATTCGTGAATTGAATTAAATGTGAATTGTCTGGGGGAATAAAAGGATAAAATGTGAACTGATATAAAGATGGTCATTCTGGACCTTTATAGTGATCACCTTGGCAGTGCAATGGGATTTTCTTTTGATGAAGTAATTTACGATGGGAACCTTATATATCAATACGAGAAACATGACAAAAAGAAATAGACCTAAACTTAGCCAACGAAGAGGGAATATCTTTTCTGATCATCAGTTTGTCCAATCCACACTTGATAGGATATTGGAATTATAAACTGTAGTCCCCTCCGAACTTCCATCAACAAATAAAAAAAACCTTATCACAGTAATCAATATCCAGTGCTTTTCCCATACTCCTTCTTCTCCTAAATATGAGGGTTTAAGCGTTTTATTTTGATGTTAAATATAAGATTTATTTTTTTACTTGATCAAGATATCTCCTCTTTGAAACTTAGAGTGCAAATGGTTTTCACATCTCTTAACAGGGGTTCATCCCGAAATTTGAACTTGTGTATTTTCCTTATAGGGGTGAGGTCGCCTATCACCTCAACCAACGACTTGTTGGTCATAAGATTTAATTTCAATCCCTTTTATTTGTCAAATTTATAATTTTTTTCAAATTATCCTTATGGCTGCACGTATTAACAAGGTTTCAAATAAATGATAATTTCAATGCACATAATTAAATAAGGTAGTTTAAAAAAAATTAATTCATATTTATTATAAATAAATAACTAACTATTTTTTTTTTAATTTCTAAAAGTTAGGTATCTAGCTTCTATATTTAGGATAGTATAAAATAATAGCAATCTTAAATAAGAAAGCACTAATTCAGGATTGCCAGGTGTTCCTCATGAATCCGTTTATTCCCATTGGAACATACTATATAAAATAGAACAAATATTTGTTCCATTTTGTTGCTCATATTAGATAATGGGAGATTATTAGGTAGTAATTGGGATAATAGCCATCTTACATAAGCAAGTTATACATTTAATTGTAATTATTTTAACAATCTAAATATATGGATGCACACAAACATATCAACGCCCTGGCTCAAACTCGAAACCTCATCTAAGTGTTGCAAGTGATGTTGTCACTGGGACAACTAACCATTGACACATTTGATTGTAACCGAGAGAGGAAGTTGGAGGAGGGATAGAGAGTATTAAAACAATAAAAAGTGAATAAAAATATATCACTACCTTTAGTCCTTATTATAATTATAATTAAGGACCTCTAGAATGTTTTATAATATAACATCTTTAGTTTAAACTGTAATTAACCAGTCTTCTCTAACTAACAACTTTATTTGAAGGTAATTTTGATATATTACAAGAAATAACTAATTCTAATTAATTTTAACATACGTCATTGTTATTAGGTGCTTATAATAAAGGTCTAAAAAGGAGTAATCTTTGTTTTGTCTCATTCATCCCTTGAATCACCCTCACTAGGCTATGACTATAGTGTCTATTTTAGCTTATATTGACGTTATAATTAATTGTGCCGCAAACTTACACAGGACGTGATTAATTAGGCCAATTGTTTCAAATTTGTAATTTGAGACGGAAAAAGATTTTCAATTTTGTTATAATTTAGTGAGAAATATGGAACAATCATAGTTTGATGCATGCATTCAATATTCTCATTGGATCAAAATACCCTTCACTTACACGTTAATAGCTAATATGGTGTAACAAGTCTCACATCAAGAAATCTCACAAGTGTTGTGCGGTTTATAAGTTCTCCTTTTAGGCTTATACTTAAGAAAACTAAGTGAAGTGCTGCAGAATAGAGCCAACGAGTACGTCCTCCCTCGAGGGATGGCGATCAGTGACGAACTTAATTAAGCCCTGATTTAGGGGTTTGTTTTACGCCAAATAATACTGTTTTTTTACAAGAAAATTTTGGGAGCGTTCTCATATTGAAATGCTCATTTTCTTTGGCCACTCATACACTACGCATGGAACGTGTTAAACAGGACCCTAACCTCCAAAATATTGCATCATCACACATCCTAATCTGCCCCAAGAATTTTTTTTATTTAAACAACAAATGACTAAAAAAGGTAATATTAAATATTAGTAACCAATGACACAATAAACAAAACGAAGGTTTCTCCATCAACATTAACTTATAAACATTCCTTTTTCTATCTTTCTTTTTGTTTTACTAATATAAAAAGGTATTTTTATGGTAGTTAAAAAGGATTTTTACATTGATTTTGTAACCGATGTGGATAAAGCTGATCAAATTTCTATGCTAGTTTTAGACCCGATGTAAAAAAGATTGTATTTAACTGATTGAAACAATATTAAGGAAGACAAAAGAAACATTCTCTTCACTTTCTACATTGGTTGTCACGTGCAACTAAAACTGAAAGAAAAGCCCTGTTTTAGCGAGGAAAGAATTCACTCATGGAAGCTTCATTAACAGAGCATGATTCTCCACTTGCACTGGTGATAATAGGCTCTGGTTTGCCATGCAAAAAGAAAGCAGGTTCCTGTGGTGATGGCAATTGAATAGAATCATTGCTAAGATATGAAACAACTGTAGCCATGGAAGGCCTTGTATTTGGATTTTCTTGAACACATAATAAACCAATTTGAATGCACTTGATCACTTCATTGTATGATCCCAATTCATTTATATTTGAATCCAGTATCTCTAGCAACTTGTCGTCCCTCCACTGCTTCCAAGTCTGCAACAATGAAGACAAACATATTACTTCAATGAATAATACACCTTTATTGGCTCATCATACAATAATGTCAAATTAATCATTCCATCTCCAATTTAAATGTCAAGATGATTGTTTATATGGGAAATCTTGATCTGTAAGAATTGTTTTGAAAGCCTTAGATAACATGTCTTAGAGGTGATCGACGTATTGCAAATCATAACATGATTTATTCTTCTTAAGGCACAAGAATAAAAGAGAGAGAGAAATACATTATCATAACTTACATAGCTTAAGAGGCCATCGGCATATTGTGAATCATGACAACCCGTATTCTTCTTTCCACTAATAATTTCTAAAACTATAACTCCAAAACTAAAAACATCTGATTTTTCAGAATATTGTCCGAACATTGCATATTCTGGAGACATATAGCCACTGTAAAAAAGACAATGTCAATGAAATATAATCCAAAACATGATAACATTTGAGCATTTAAAATGATTAGTAGAAAGGCAAACTTTTGTATTCCAAATTAAGTCACAAATTATTTTTTGTTATTCAATTATACCAAGATATAGGCATATGCATATATGCGTGCATGTGTACACATCAAGGTTAAAAGAAGAAAGGCAGAACTTACTATGTTCCAACAATTCGATTTGTACTTCCTTCATTTTCACTAATAGCAACCATCTTAGCTAGGCCAAAATCTGAAATTTTTGGATTCATTTCATCATCCAACAAAATATTACTAGGTTTAAGATCTCGATGTATGATTTTTAGACGAGAATATTCATGAAGATAAAGAATTCCTCGAGCAACTCCTCCTATGATTTTACTACGCTCCATCCAATCTAATACCCTGCTGTTTTGGGAACCTACATAAATTTGTTGTAAGTAAAGTGACAAAATGAATGAAAATAATTTTAATTTGAGTAACAAACTTTAAAACTTAACAAGAGGCACCAAATAAATAATGAATGCATGACATAAATGAGCTATAAAATTCCAATTAGAAGTTTAAATGAGTTTAGAAGATTCATACCAAATAAAAAGTAATCAAGGCTTCTATTAGGAACATATTCATAAACTAGTATTTTCTCTTGCTCCTCAATACAAAATCCTAACAAAGCCACCAAATTTCTGTGTTGGAGTCTGGCTATTAATAAAACCTCGTTCTTAAACTCTTCTGCACCTTGGCCAGATCCCTTTGAAAGTCTCTTCACCGCTATTTCTTGACCATTTAAAAGAATACCCTAGAATAATAGTTACCTCGATTAAAAAAAGGGAAAACAAATATATGCACACACACACAATATTAAAAAAAAAAATTACATCGATGGCAATTTGTTACCTTAAAAACTTGTCCAAATCCACCACGCCCTAAACTATTTTCATGAGAAAACCTATTTGTCGCAGCCTCAATCGTAGCCAAATTGAATTGCAGATGCTCTAAAGTAGTGCTTTCCGTTCCAACTAGACAAGTATTAAACCAACTAGATAAATAAGAACCAACGAATCTTCCAACTGGCCAAAAACTGTATTAGTAAATGGATAGAATGAAAAATTACTTACAGTATTTTTTTCTGAGCCCAGCCCTATGACTCTTCTTCATTCGAATCTTTAAGAGATAGTAAGCCGAATAAAAAATTATTCCTCCAACAACAGCAGAAGCCACAACTACAAGTATTGTCCTTCCTAATTGTCAAGGAGCGAGAGAAACGAGTTTCAGAGAGTTTTGAATACAGAAGAATGGAATGCAATTTATGCTTTCTAGTTATTTAAAGGCGCAATATTCACACAATGTTCTAATCACCACAAAAAATTTGACTTAGTCGCCGCTGAAAAGTTTCAGCGGCGACATTTTGTCGCTGCCAGGTCGTTGCTGTAGCGGCCGTCGTTGAAACTTATCAGCGGCGACATAATAAAGTCGCTGCTGAAAGTCTATTAAAAGTCGCCGCTGAAAGCCTAGTTTCAGCAGCGACAAAGCATCGTCGCCGAAAGTCATTTCAGGGGTGACAGATAGTCGTTGCTGAAAGATGATGAGTTTGCCATATAGCAATGTTGCCACTGACAGGCTTTATCGCAACTGAAAGCTGCATCTACAGCGGCGACAATAGGTGGTCGCCGCCATTACTGTCATTTTCAGCGGTGACACTGAAAGTTATAGTTTCAGCGGCGACTTTTTTTGTCGCCACTGAAAGTTGTCGCTGAAAATCCAATTTTTTGTAGTGAATAACACTGCAGTGTTACCTAGTTTTGATAAATACAAAGAGTTAACAATTAGTTTACCCAACTATATGCCCATGTGGCATGCCCACATGGCATCACCTCACTTTATTTTTCCATCAGGTTTGAAATAAAAAAAAAATTATAAAGAAAAGGGAAGAAACATTAGGACCCATTTGATTCAATCCTACTGCAGGCTTGGAATGATAGTCAAGATTTCATTACCTAGAGGAGTGGTGTTTGGTTGCTCTTAACTCTGGTAATAATGTTTAGCATGGTAATGATGAATACCTGTTTGATAATTATTTTGCGTTTAGTTAAACTAATTTCTATTTTGTTATGAATTTGTAATTAATTTTAATATTTATTGAGTAATTAATTAGGAATTAATTTTTAATGTAACTGATAATTAGTTGAAATAATATTTGAAGTGGTAATTAAATACTAATGTGTAATTATATTATGAAATTAGTTAGCAATTAATGTTTATAAAATAGTTAATTAGTTGTCACGCCCTTAGGAGTGATTTTCCAAAGCGCTACCCATCTTCGAAGGGGTTGTAACCATTATAAATGCAAGACATAATAACATAATTGCTACTACGAGTTCGTCTTTCTTTCTTTCTTTCTTTCTTTTTTTCCCCAAGCGTAAGCCTCACATTTAATGCCTCACCATATCAAAATTCGGCAATCCAAATTTGATATAACTTTATTTTTGTATTTTTAGCAATTAATATTTTAGTGTGTAGATAATATAAAATAAAAATAACTTTTTAACTGTCAACTTCTTAGAAAATATGTTTTTATTTAAAAATCTCACCTAAAAATTTTAAATTTGAACTACTGATACTATATTTGGACAATACAAATCTTACCACAGTGATCAACATCATTATTATAATGAATGCTAAAACTAGTTACATAAGTTAGCCACTGTGTCCCTAAAGTCAACCTCATTTACCAAACATTCAATTTTCAAACATATAGAATATAAAAATTATAATAACACAAAAGATTTAGTCCTAATAATTCCTGAACTCTGACTAAAAAGCTCATTCTTACAGCTTATTGGGTTAAGCAATTAAAGGTACCAACTTACTAAGTCAAGAAATTACAGGAAATGAGTTGTTTTTGAGCTAATTAATTAAGACTTGATCAATAAGGTAAGAAAAGTTTAGACATAAATATTATATTTTTCCAAACAGAAGTATGCATTTTTTTTCTTTTATATAGTTTACTCTAATATGTTTAAAAGGAAAAAAAAAAAAAAAAACAGAAGAAGCATTTATGTTTGGCTCTTTACCTGGAGGTCGAGGATGACGTGAAGTATTGGTTCGAGGGAAAAATGGAGGCGTCAGAGCCGGGGACACTGCCGGCGCCGGTGCCGGTGCCGGTGCCTCTGGCGGGGACATTTCATAGCGAATGTTGCAGCTGGGATTCACAGCTCTTCCTCCGATCTTCCCCTCACTACACAACGGAATGTTCCCAATCACACCACTCAAACAACTTCTGCAATCTTCAAGCCGTAGATCCGGCGTGCACTGAGCTAGACTGTACACAGTTTGAGACTGAAAATTAGCTTGGTTCTTCGCATACGCCTTTTCCTCCGACGCAGATTTCGGCACCGCTACCATACTTGCCGTCTCATTCATAAAATCCAGCAAGAAACTCTTGAATCTTGCCTGGTATGAGTTGGAGATATTGTACGGGTTCAATATGACGACGGTTGGCCATTTATCAATGGTGGAGAAGAAAGAGGTGTTGGAATAGCGAAGCATGCACTCGTCGTACCAGATTACGGCCTCCTTCGAAAACCGGCACTCAGAAGGTAGCAGTTGGGTTGCGTTAGCGACGCATTCGCGGCAGACCTGGAGGGAGACGTCGCCCCGGCACATGAAGAGGCCGTAGATGGCTTCACTGCCTCCAGGAACGGTGGCGTTGTAGAAGGCGGCATTGGCTGAAGCTAAGGAGGAGAGGAGGGTGGTCCGGTGGGATTGGAAGGTACTATTAGCAGAGAAGCTTTTTCCGGCGGTGGAGCAGTTGTGGTAAAGATAAGTAGGTCGTAGTGCTTCAATGGTAGCAGAACAGAGGAAGCTACTGATAAAGAAGAAGAAGAGTAAGAAGCATCTGTGAGTAATCATGGCGAGGTTGAAGAAGTGTTTGTTCTTGATTGGTGTTTGAGATGAGGCGAAGACTATCATAGTTTGTGGAGCTTTTATTACTTTGTGTATTTTCATGGAAAGTGCGGAAGCATTTTCCTTTACGTGAGGACGGAGCTAAAATCCTTTCTATAGTCATATTAAAAGACAAAAATAAAAATGAGTGGTTATCGATTATTTGCTCTAAAATTTGAATGGTCCAACTATGCCACCAGGACATCAATGGTAGTTCCGGTAGAATAGTAGGGGTGAGCAAAAGCAAGCTGAATAATTAAAATATATTTAATTTGGGATTTTTCAATTTTCACCGAGTACCAAAACAAATAGTAAGAGTGCTTATCAATGATTGAAAAATGTATTATAAAAGAAATTTCATTACTCCTTCTGTCCCTAAATATAATTTTTTTTTTCAAAATATATGTTTCAGTATAAATTTCTAAGTCAATTAAAGTATTTTCCCTAAAATATCCATTAAAATAACGGCATTAAATTAATTTGAATGCAAAGGAAGCATAAAAAATAGTGGTACGTAATGGAGGACAGAAATGAAAAGGATACTTTTTCAGGAAGCACATTTATTGAAAGGATTTTACCTTGATATATATATATATATATATATATATATTGTTTAATATGTGTGTTTAGAAAAACTAATACTTATAATTAGAATAGGGGAGTAATTAGAGGTGATCTACTATTTGATTGTCTGCAATAATATTTCAAGGGAGATCAACTTCTATTGGAGAAATTATGAATTCTCATCAAGCCCGAATTCAATTTCTTTTTTATTATTATATTTTAGTTTTTTAATTTTGATAAATATAAAATAAAAAATAAACATAATCTTTATTGGATATCAATTTTAAAAAAATACTTATTGATTGGAAAATAAATTAGACTTAAAGGGGCTGGGTCAATAATGGATGCCCCGAATGTGAACGTTAAAGTAAAGGTGGGGTTGATCGATGAAGATGATGGAGAAGGTTGACTCATTCAAACTTTGGGGTGTTAATTTTCTACGACGTATGGATATGATTGTCCAATTACCTTCAATAACACGTCGAAGGCAGACTTAATTATATGCATTGACCCCTCCGTCATCATTTACTTATAAACATTTATTCATCATCGTATCAAATACCTCAAGCTTCAACAATGGAGTTATCATCCAAGCTTCCACTTTCTTTCTTCCTCCTCCTCCTCCTCCTCCTCCTTGCCATCACGGTCCATGCTCAGAACTCACCACAAGACTAAGTCACTACAAAAAAAATATGTATTGTCTAGCGGTTAAATTATGACATTTTTAGCGGTTTTAACTGCAACAAACAATATTTGTAGCGGTTAGACAAGCCGCTAAAAAATCAAGTGTAAGAAAGAGTTTTATAACAATTAAGGGAACCGCTACACAGTATGGTCAAAACACTAGAAAATTTCTAACGGTTTCTCTAACTGCTAGAAAAAACAAGCAAGCACAAGAGAATGCCATGACGTTTGTGGCAGTTTAAAACCGCTAAAAAATTTGTCAAAATATTTGTAGTGGTTCAGAAAGTTTTCGATGAACAGGAAACAAAATTTTCATATTAGCGTAAAAAATTTCTAGTGGTTGTTAACCGCTAGAAAGTTTTGGATGAAAATATAATTTTCCAAGAAACGAAATTTTCAAATTGGTTCCAAAACTTTCTAGCAGTTAAAAACCTCTAGCAATTTGGTGCCAGGTGGAACCAAGTTTAAATTTTGCAAAAAATTTTCTTCTTTTTTATTTTTCTAGCAGATTCTGAACCGCTACAAAGTTCATTCCAAGGGGAAAATAAAATTCAAATGTTTCATTATTAAAAAAATATTATAAATTAAAAAAACCATTAAATAGAGTATATTAGAGAATTTATGTTAATATGTATATTTACCAATGTATTACATGTTATGTATTTGAATTTTGTGATAAATAATAAGTAATTAAATTATGATTGTGTCAAATGAATTGAATTGAATTGAATAAGATAGTTGAATTGGAGATGGGATAGTTTATAATGTTGAATCTTAACTCTTATGTTGAAAAGTGGCTGAATTAGTTGAGGAAGGCATGACAAATGTGAAAAAGAAAAATCTGAAAGAAAAAGATAAATAAATATGTTAGTAAATTATAAATAAAGATAAATAAAAAATTCAGATCTATAAAATGAATACCATCTTAACATATAAAGAAGAGAAAAAAACCACCATATGAGAGAGTAAGAAGAAAAGCGAGAATTATAAAGAAGAAGAGGAGATGAAGGAAAAGAGTAGGGCTAAATGAATGAGGAGGTGATATGATATTTATAGAGATCAGCGAGACTTTTCTAGCAGTTGTTTACTATTTGCAGTGGTTTCATTCATTTTGTAGCGGTTGTGCATTTTCTAGATATTCCGTAAGTACTACAAATTGCAATTTTTTTTGTTTTTAAAAAACAAAACCAATTTTAATTTGTGCATATTTATTTATGAAAAACAAACTGCAGTTCCTAGCGATTCTGTAACCTCTACAAATTGCAATTTTTTATTTGTCAAAAACTTAACTAATTTTAATTTATACATATTTATTTATGAAAAACAAATTATTTGAATGATAAAATTTTTTGAAACTGCTATTTTTTATCATTATCCTACCTGAAAGGAGATATTAAAAAACTTATTCCTAGAATTATAGTATATTTAGAAAAAATTAGTAATTAGTAGTTAATTATTTAAATAATTTAAGAAAAGACATATACCTGATAATGGGCCAAATTATCGTCTCCTTAAGGAAAGAAGTTTTCAAAATTCATGGGTTTAAAGGATTTGTTGTCGTAAGTAATGTCACCATCACCCATATCATAAAAATCTCGTGGCTTGAGATGAACAACCATATTCTAGTATTTATGTTTCTCGTCCTTGACATAGTAAACTTGGTGTGCCTCCGAAACAAGAATATATGGCTCATCATCTTCAGATTCCCTGGTATGAATGAGTCTAGAGAAATTAATAGAGGTGATGCCGAAGTGGTCAGTAGTGAGTCCTTGTGAAGCTGTCATATTTGCCCAGGAGCACTTGAACAGAGTTATGATGAAAAGCTGGTAACTTAACTCAACTATGTCAATTAGCTTTCTATAGTAAGTGATGCCTCCAAAGCACATATCGCTATCATTGCTACTAGTATAGTATCTCGTCCCAAATGTCTCGCAAACTCCAGAGTTTTGTGTGAGCAATCCCTGATCATGTCCAATAGTACAGAACTTAAACTCGTTGACATTAGACGCTGTAGATCTTTGTTCATGGTCTAACGGACTAAGGGAAAGAGCTTTGAATTCATCTGTGTATGAGCTGTTGTCATTATGTATTTGACGTGTAAACCAACTGGGAAACTCTCTGTGGACTCTTTTATCAATTTCAGCAGAACACGCATGCCCTCGTAGCTATTGCCTAAGATAATTTCTAAACTCACTACAATGAAGTGCAATTTGTTAGAAGAGTTAGTGAGAAACAATGTAACGTGTAAAGGTTAGTGAGCTTATATAATACTTATTGCATGAAGGGTTCAACTTGGCCGCAATTTATCAAAACATGTTTGTATGCCTGGAATTTCTCTGTGTGAGTGAGTCTAAATAATTCATATCCTCCAACTGGTTTCCTAACAAGAGGAAATAAAGCTAATGTGGAAGGACCAGGAGAAGAATCATCTACATAACGCTGGCAGTTAAAAGATGTCTTCATGTCAACAAAGTACCTCGACCAGAAACTTAGGACCTCATCTTCGGAATAACCTTCTGCTATTGACCCCTCAGGCCACGCATTATTCCTCACATATGATTTTAATTTTTCCAAATACCTGTAGGTTAATACTCCATTAATAATTGTGAGCAATTGAAATAAAAATGTCAAATTTAAGGAGGCAGGGATAAAAAAATAATCTAGTATCTCTCTATAGGATACATCCATTGATATTGAATTGGGCTAGCAACCTTTGCTTCTTGAAAAAGGTGGACAATCAAGTGAATCATGACAGTGAAGAATGATGGGGGAAATATCATTTCCAAGTGGCAAAGTATAAGAATGATTTTACTTTGTAGCTGATCAAGCTCTTCCAGTATCAAGATCTTCACACACAACTTCTTGAAAAATGAACACAATTCCACCAAAACCACTGATACATCATAAGGAAGTGTGTTTCTTAAAGCCAATGGAAGTAACTATTGCATAAGACCATGGGAGTCATGACTTTTTAACCCAATAACCTTTTGAGCCTGCAGATTGATACACCTTGAGATGTTGCTAGAATATCCATCAAGTACTTTTATGTTCTTCAGCGTTGAAAGGAAGATATCCTTGTTCTGCTTCGTCAAGGTGAATTTAGTTGGTTGAAACTTCTCGTTTTCATCAGGCCAAGCCTCTTCATGAATTCTCTAGGCCCGTAAATCTTTTCTAGTTGTGAGATGGTCTTTGGACTTTTCAGCTTTGTTGAGCAACATATGTAGCACATTATCGCACACATTTTTTTTCAATGTGTATAACATCCAAACTGTGTCAGAGGAAATTAGCTTCCCAATAAGGAAGAGGGAAAAATATACTTCTCTTCCACCATTGCATAGGTTGCACATCAGATGTCCCACGAGACTGTCGTCCCAGTTGTTTGGGATCCACATTCATGCCAAAATCGACATCAACATCTTCTAACTATTGCAAAATATCCACATCAGACAAAGTAACAGGAGGATCTCTCTTTTCTTAATTTCCATCAAAGTGAATCCATTGCAATCTAAATCTATGCTTAGAATCTAGGAACCATCGATGTCCTATGAAGCACCATTTGCGACTATGTGGAAGGCAACATGATACAACGTCAAAATTGCACTCAAGACAGACCAACCCAGTATGCACATTCCAACCAAACAAAGGTCCCACACCAAGAAAATCACTTACTGTCTACATCAAGGCTACATGGAGATTGAATAGTCACTTGTCATATGAGTCATATGTCTCAACATCATTCATCTACAGGTCGATCAATTCATGTATCAACGGTTGTAGGTACACATTTATAT